TAACCACTGAGGCCTTTCCAGCTCTGGGAATGGGGGGATCTGAATACAAAACTTGTCGCCGTTCAGTTGTGTCCAGCTCTTCATGACCCCATTTGGGGTTTTCTTGGCAAAGATACTGGAGTGCTTCTCCAGCTCGTTTGACAGATGAGGAAACTGAGGCAAACAGGGTGAAGTGACTTGCCCAACCAGGGTCACACAACTAGTCAGTGTCTGAGGTCAGATTTGAACTCAGGTCTTCCTGACTTCCAGTCCAGCACTCCATCCACTGTTCCAAAGCTACAAGTATGGAAAAAAGTGCTAATTTTGGAATCAGGAGACCTGGGTTTAAATCCTGACTCTTTCACTCAGCATTTGACCTTGGTCAAGGCACTTAACATCTTTCTGGGCCTCAGTATCCTCATCCATAAAATACATGGGTTGGACTAGATGATTTCCAACTTCCCTTCAAGCTTTAAATCTTATGGTCCCACGGCCCAAAGAAATGACTTTCTAAGAGGAGGACTTTAAGCATCATGGCAGCCAAGGGGAACATAATTGTTGAGCACTGGGGTCTTTCTAGCTCCATGAAACCTGCCTACTCTGGTTACTCATAAGACCCATCCTGCTTATGAGACTGCTGACTGCCAGTTATCAGCCCCTCATGGCTACTCCTGTCTTCTAAACTCTACTATCTGGCTTCTAACCTCATCATTTAGTGAAAACTCCTCTCTCCAAAGATACTCATGATCTCTGAAGGGGCATATCTAATGGCCTTTTCTCAGTCCTCACCTGTCTTGATCACTCTGCAGTATTTGACACTGTTGATCACCTTCCCCTCCTGGAAGCTCTCTCCTCTCTGGGTTTTGTGACAAATCTGTCTCTCTGTTCCTTCCCTTTCTCCTTTGCTGGTCTTCATCTGTATCATACCCACTAACTGAGGCTATCCCCCAACATTCTGTTCTGTGCCTTCTCTTTTCTCTCTACCCTCTCCCACTTGGTAATCCCAGGCTCTTTCTCTCTCTTCTCCCCATCTTGATTTCTCTCTCTCTTCTTCTTCTTCTTCTTCTTCTTCTTCTTCTTCTTCTTCTTCTTCTTTCTTCTTCTTCTTCTTCTTCTTCTTCCTCTCTCTGTCTCTCTCTCTCTGTCTCTCTGTCTCTCTCTCTCTGTCTCTGTCTCTCTCTCTCTCTGTCTCTCTCTCTGTCTCTCTGTCTCTGTCTCTGTCTGTCTCTCTCTCTCTCTCTCTCTCTCTCTCTCTCTCTCTCTCTCTCTCTCTCTCTCTCTCTCCTGAGCTCTAGGTCTTCACCACCAAATGCCTCTTATACATCTTGAACTAGACATCTTAAACCCCACATGTACAAAACAGAATTACTATATTTTCCTCCAGCTCCTCTAAACTTCCCAATTACTGTTGAGGACACCATCATTTTCCAAGTCACTCAGGTCTGCAACCTTGGTGTTACATTCAGCTCCCCATTCTCACTCTCCCCTCGCATTCAACCTCTTGTCGAAATCTTGTCATTTCTACCTCAAAAAAGATCTCGTGTATGTCTCCTCTCGATCACACAGCCACCACCCTCATGTAGGCTCTTGTCACCTCTTGCCTGGACTATTGCAATAGCCTTTTAATTGGTTTCCCAACCTCACATCTCTTCCCGCTCCAATGCATCCTCCACTCAGCTGCCAAGATGATTTTTCTAAATTATAGGTCTGACCATGTCATCTCTCTACTTCATGAGCTTCAGCAGCTACCTAAGCATAAAAACTTCTGTTTGCCATCTACAGCCCTACCCAAGCTGGCATCTTCCAACCTTTCCTGTCTTCTCACACTTCATTCCTCTCCACACACTCTCAATCCAGCCACAATGACCTATTTGTAGGTGCCTGTGTGTAACAATTTGGAATTTCTGCTCCTTTGTGCTGGTTCTCCCCCATGCCTGGAATGCTGGGCCCCCTCACCTGCACTTTGTGGTCTCCCTGACTTCCTTCAAGACCCAGCTCAGTTCGTCTTTCCTCAGGAGGCCTTTCCTTAGCCTCCCCACCCCCCACCCCTGCTCCTCTATCCCTCCATCCTTCAGTTGCCAATATCTTCTCTTCTCAGGTTACTTTCCATCTATTTTCTGTCTCTCTATAATATATATATTCTGTACATGCATATATGTGTATATATATACATAGCTATATGTATGTACATATATAGATGCACATATGTATATATATGTATATACATATGTGTATACATACACGCACTATATGGTATAATATATATTGTAATATATATTACATAGATACACATATACATACACTACATATAGTATGTGCGTATATACATATACATATATAGTGTGTGTGTTTATCTAGTTATTTATATATATTTATATATATGTGAGCTCCTTGAGGTCAGAGACTTTTTTACTTTCTTTGTATTCTCAGTGTTTAGCAGAGTGCTGGGCATATAGTAAGCACTTAATTAATGTTTGTTGACTGACTGCTTGAAGTAGCTGAAGCCTTTTGGTCCCATCTTTATATATGGCTAAAACCTAAACCATGGATAGGGAACCTGCGGCATGGAGGCCACACTTGGCCCTCTGGGTCCTCAAGTGCAACCCTTTGACTGAATCCAAACTTTACAGAACAGATCTCCTCAATCAAAGGATTTGTTCTATAAAACTTGGATTCAGTTGAAAGGCCCCACCAAGGACCTAGAGGGCCACATGTGGCCTCCAGGCTGCAGGTTCCCCACCCCTGACCTAAACCCCATTCTCTTAAATATCAGTGTGATGTCCAGGTATTATAGCTTTATTATCACGAGTGTTATGTGTAGGGGATGACAGCCAGGGCAATATCTCTTGCGTCCGTTTCTTTGGTCTCTTATCAATGTTTCTTCTGGAAGGGCAAGGAATATTCATGGGTTAATAGAATTCAGGAATGCCTACCTATGTTCTTCTCAGCAGATCAACCTTGCAAATTGCCTTCAAAAACCATTCCACTGCACAAACACAATTCCACTTGAGTTAAATTACCACTCGTGTGCATTCTTCCCCTACTCTTTTTCTTTGCTAGAGATCTTCACCCCCTCCTACTGATTGTCATCTCCTTTTCTTGGCTGGGCAGAATTATTAGCGAGTCTGTCTCCAAGCAAACATAGGTTTTCTTCAGCGCCATGATCCTGCCTTTGGAAAGGCTAGGTGCATACCAGCTATTAAATCCAAAGAGATTGGAAAGATGAGGTGAAGACTATGTTCAATTTCATTTGGGCTCCAAAGTCTTGCTTCCATTAGGAGGCCTGAAGCAGCCTGGTTTCTTTCAGACCTCGAATGGACCGGAAATTCATCTTACAGCGGTTGGAACTCTTTGGAGAGAAGGTGCTGTAGAAAGAAGTCTGTGGGACGAGCGTCTTCCACAGCCCCCACATAAATGTAGAGACACGCACAACGCTGCTGGCTGGTACTTGTAGCGAGGGAGAACCTACCCCCCCACCTCCACCCCACCCCCAAGTGCCGGGAAGGTAACTAAATCCACTTCTCCAGCCCAGGTTTTCCTTTCAGCCATTCCCGGGGCATGCAAAAGGGAGATTCAGGCACACACAGAAAGGATGTCTTCATCTGCCAACAGGGAATGGAAACGCAGCCCGGAGAGCAGCCTGCTTCTCCGGGAATGAGAAGCAAAGGTTTCCTCGCCCCGGAATCGCAGGAACCCTGACCTGATTGCTGCCCCTTCCCCCTCCCTGCTGTCTCTCGCTCTCTCTCGCCGCCCCCTCCCCCCTCCGGGTCCCTGCGGTGCCTGGGTGTTTGCGTGCATGTGCACGCGCCGAGGTTCCGAAGGATTAAATGAACACCCGCCTCTGAGAAGCCGGGAGGCGGGAGAGAGCCGGAGCTCGGCGGGCGGCGGCAGCGGCGGGAGTCGGAGGAGGAGGAAGAAGGGGAGGAGGAGAAGGAGGCGGAGGGGGCTGGGGCCACCGCCTCTGCCGGCCCCCGGAGCCCGGCTGGAGCGGCGATGGGCGCAGCGGCTTCGCGCCCCTAGCGCCGCCGGTTCCTGCGTGTCCGCCCGGCCGCCCCGGGTCCCGGCCGGGACCGCGCCGCCGCCGGCTCCCCCCCTTTTGCCGCAGCGTCGATCGGACTGCGTTAGTCAATTACGAGCCTTGCTGATTTCCTCCCGGAGCTCGGGGCTGCCTTCCGCTCCGGCTCCGAGTCTGCCCGGCGCTCCGGAGGGGCGGACGCGCGGTGGGGCTGCCGGGGCTGGGGCCGTGCCCAGGACGCCCAGGGGCTAAGCCGCAGCCCTCCGTCCCCGCAGCGCCCGCGGTGGCCCCGAGGACCCTTCGACGGCCGGCCGGCCGGCCGGCGCAGCTGCTGCGCGCCTGGGGTTCTGCCCCGCGCTTCAGACCGTGTTTCTTCGCGGGGTTTTGTAAGAGTTCCCTTCCCTAGAGTGAGGCGTGGGGCGGGGACACCCCTTCCAGCACTCTCTCCCCCCCAGCGTGGAGACTTCTGGGCCCTGGAGGATTTAACAGACACTCCGGCGGGGTTTCGCTCTGCGCAGCACCATGGAGCGCGCCGACGAGCGCAGCTGGGGCGGACCCTGGAGAGCCCAGCGAGCCTGAGAAGCCCTCTTCGGGCCGGGCCCGGAGGCTCAACGCCGGGCAGCCTGGGGCCGCGGAGCCGGGCTCGGAACTCGCGGGGACGCCCTTGGCCACCGCCCAAGTTGCGTAGACTGACGGGACTTAGGAATTCCCGCCGCCCCCCTCCTCCAAGCCCCGGAGTTCGCGGACTCAGACCCTTCCCGGGGAAGGAAGGGGGCAGACGGTGTAAACTTAGCCCTTTGGGGAGCGGTGGCAGCGGGAGGCACCGAGGCGACCCCCAGCTCTGCGCTCTTGCGGGGCCGGTTCACGGCGCCAGCAGCGGTCGGGGCTGCGGGACCGTCGGAGCGTCGAGCTCCCGGGGCACCAGAAGTTTGTCAGTGACTGCCCGCGTTCCGCGCTCCGAGGCTGGGGAGCCCCCTGCCCTGTCCCCAGGGGGCCCGTCCTTGAAGGGGCCGGCTAGGGTGCCCCCGACGCGGGCTCTCGGACTTGGCTGCGCGGGGCTCGGGGAGGAGCTGAAGGGGCCAGCCTGGCGTGTTTGATGGCTTCACTGAGAAGGGTCAAAGTGCTGCTGGTGTTAAATCTGATCGCCGTGGCCGGCTTCGTGCTCTTCTTGGCCAAGTGTCGGCCCATCTCCGTGAAGAGCGCGGACGCCTTCCGGGACATCCATACCCGGGCGGAGACGGCCAACTTGACCCAGCACGGCCCCAACCCAGTCCAGGATGGGGTGCTGAAGAGGCTCTCGCTGCTGGAGGACATCGTCTACAGGCAGCTAAATGGTAGGAGAGCACCCCCGTATTCTAATCCCCCCACCATTCTGGTACCCAGGCAGCCCGGGCAAAGAGGGGGCTCCTGGAAATTCGGGAAGGGCTTTGCACCTGAGTGCTGGGGGGCTGCCGGCAGACTAGAGCCTCCGGGACCCTCAGACTTGGAGGTGGGAGGCTGGGAATTGGGGGCGGGGCGGGGGCCGTTTGCAGTCCATGCCCACCGCTGTAACTTTGGTTTCGTTAGACAAACACAGCAGTGTCTGGCATTTGCAATCATAGCGTTGGCCCTGGATTCCCACTGTGCAGGTCAGGAAATTATCCTTTCCAACAGGAGAGCCGAAACTAGGAGAGGTTTGCACCAGCGTGCTGCGTATTGATGGAGCAAATAGCTTTTACCACCAGGCATTATTATGATTATTTATTTCTGGTGAAGTTGGAGGTGGGGAGGAGGAGAGGCAGGCTACATCTGGGTTTCTTGATGTGTGGGGGGCTCCGTGAACTCGCAAGTCGGGAGGGGGGGAGGGAATGACATCTCTAACCGAAATATAGCATTTCTTTCACTGATTTAAAAAACCTCTTTGGGGAAAGCGGTCCCTCGGGCTTCACCAGGTTGTCAGGGGGTCCAGGACAAACAAAACAGTGAAGAATCCGTGATCTAGAATAGATAAGAGGGCGAAAGTCCTGGAGCCAATGCATTTTTGTGATAAGCTAGATTAATAGCCCCTCATTTTTCTGTAGTCATGTCTGAACAGCTTCTAATTAGAGCCCTTCTCTTGCGTCTGGTGGGGAGAGTTCTATTAAAATACTCACCAGGTCCTCGAGGGGAGTTGCAGAGGAGATTGTGGAGGTGTGGGTTGGGTTGGGGAAGCAGGCTGAAAATTTCAGACTTTGAAAGAGAGGCGAGCCATCTAATTAAAAGACAATTGAGAAGCTGCCCCATTTAAAAATGTTTCCACCAGCTTTTTCTTAGCATTGAGGTGAGTTTGTTCAAGGAGGATATGCCTGGCCCTGTCGGTCTGGGGACTTCAAAAGGATGAGAGTTTTGCCTTCTGGCTCTGAATTCTGACTATTCAGGATTGGAATCTGAAAACCAGAGGGGCTACAGAGTGTTAACGCTAAATATTAATTAATAATAATGGCTAATATTTATATTGTGCTTACTATGGGCTTAGGCATTGTGCTAATTGTTTTACTAGCATTATCTTATTTGCTCCTCACCACCACCCTGGGAGATAGGTGCTATTATTATGACAATTTTACAGATAAGGAAACTGTGGCAAACAGAGATTAAGTGACTTGTCCAGGGTCACCCAGTACCAGGGAAAAAGTATGACTTGGGAATCAGAGGAGAAGGATTTAAATACTGCCCCTGACCCCTGGCATGTATGACTTTGGGCAAGGCTTTTAAGGAAACTGAGGCACAGAGTGGTTATATGACTTGTTGGGGTCACACATCTAATAAGTTTTTAAGGCAGGATTTGAACTCAGGTCTTCCTGACTCCGTGTTCAGTGCTCTATTCACTATGTAATCTATGATTCTATAACCCCAAAGTGACTTTAGAGATAATGTGACTCAACTTTATTTTATAGATGAGAAAACAGGCCCAGAGATATAATGGTCTGCCCAGTGTCATATATGAGTAATCATGTGCCAGTCCTGTTGCCTGTAGGATAAAATATAGACTCCTCTGCCTGGCATTTAAAGCTGTTCCCAATGCAGCTTCCGCCTACCTCTCCAAACTTACTGCACCTCACTCCTCTGAGCAATCCCTGCTATTTGCTGTATTGTATGTACAGGCGTGCATGTATATGTGCATACATGCATTTAAGTGTGTCTATATGTGTTTGTGTATGTGGTGGGGAAAGTGCTAGTAAGATACCCACCAGGTTCTGGAGGGCAGTTACATATATATATATATATACACATGAACGCACACACATACATGTGTCTATCTATCCATAGATATTTAACACTATAGGACTTAACCTGTATTCATGTGTATACACATACATACACATTGTTGTTCAGTCATTTCAATCATGTCCATCTCTGTGACCCTATTTAGGGTTTTCCTGACAAAGATACTGGAGTGTTTGCCATTTCCTTCTCCAGATTACCTGGCACAGAAGGAAACTGAAGCAAACTGGGTGAAGTGACTTGCCCAGGACTACCCAGCCAGTATCCGGCCTGAGACAGGATTTGAACTCAGGAAGACAAGTCTTCCTGACTCTAGGTCAAGCACTTAATCTACTTTACAACCTACCTGCCCCTATACCATACACACACACATACTCTCACACACTCACACATACAACATACATAACCTATATAACACATAGGACTTAGCTCATATATATAGTATATACACAAACACTATACACAAATACACACACTCACACATACAATGTATACAACATATATAACACTATTGAACTTAGCCTGTATATGTAGTATACACACAAACACTATATACACACACACATATACATACAGAGGTCAAGTCATATACATGTGTGTATATATACATTATATGTGTAGTCAAGTCATATACATACACAAGTCAAATGTCAAATTCTGTACATCCATATGTACACATATGCATACGTACATACACACATATAATTTGGACTTGACCTATAAGTGCATTGGTATAGAAAACTCCTGGTTAAAGTAAATTTCCTTTTCTAATTCCCTCTCCTGACACTGGCACTGTGGTTTATAAATTTATAAAGTCTTTGAGATTTCCTCTGGGCCTTGAAATGTTGCATGATTTGCCCACGGACACATGGCTGGTCTGTGTGGGAGGTGTCTGTCTGTCTATAACAGGAGCCTTCCTCTTTCTCATGCTCAAATTTGTGTCTATCTCTCATGTGTTTGTGTGTCTCTCCTGTAGAATATAAGCACCTCTAGGACAAAGGTTGATTTTCTTTCTGTCCCCAGCATCCAGCACCTGGCGGGTGTTTGTTGGACCCAACAGCGTTCCTCCTGTTGGCTCGGAGGAGTTAAGCATGACTGGACTTGGTCAGCTCTCCTGATTTCCAATTTGTGGCTTATCGTAGGCAAATATTTAATGTCAGTTGCTGCTGAGGGTGTTTCTGGCCTGCATTGTCACTTAATGCAATGCTTACAGCTAGAAGACTCATTTTAATATTAGTTTCAATTGAATGAAATCCATGGTTTCCTCAGCAAGGGGGCCTCTTCGAAGATTCAAATCCAGATCTATCGATGACTTAGTAGTTAAGTCCTAGGCACCCAGAACCCTGGGGGCATTTAGCAAGGCAGTAGGATTTGAACCCACATGATCCTGGTTCTAAACCTGGCCCTCTACCCACTCTCCCTGGCTGCAGTCAGCTAGGATTAGCCATATTATTATTATTACTCGGTCAAATGGGATTAGACATATTAAGTGTTCTGGGAAAAGAGTAATGCACTAAAAATCCAACTGGATAAGGTTTTTGTATTATCCATGAATCACCATGGATAATTGAGATTAGACTATACTTGACTTGCCCCATCTTTGCTTTGACCCAGACTTACTGGAGTGAGCAGTGTCTGGAGGAAGCAGAAAGAGGGATTTAAGCCTGTGTCATACATCTTTATATGATGACTCTTTTCAGCAGCATGCCCTGGTGAAGCATCATTTTTATTCTAAAGGGAAGGAGTCCAGGATGGGCCCCTTGTACTCAAACCAAATTTGTTGCCTCCCGAGATAGCCTAGCTCTGGTACAGGGTGGGACCTGTTAAAAATAAATAAATAAATCTTTTAAGACTGAAGCAACTTGGACCTGAGTTTGAATTCAGCCTCAGATGCTTATTTGCAATGTGAACTCAAGTCACTTAACCTCTGTCTGCCTCAGTTTGCTCATCTTTAAAATGGGCATGATGATAGTGCCTACCTCAGGGTCAGGTTGTGAGGATCAAATGAGATAATATATATAAAAGGGCATTGCAAACTTCAAATTACTCTGTAACTGATAGCTAGTGCTATAAAAGGGTAGTATTACGTGAAGGGACTTGGTGCTTGGACTCCTCCACCTGGGTTGAAATGAACAATAGCAAAACCTCATTTAACCACCACTGGAACCCTCAGATAATCAAACCTTCAAATGTACTTGACTTTTACAAGAAAGAAAACAAGCTTGCACAGGATCTTTTGATTTTTTTTAAGGGAAGTATTTTCTAGAATCAATAAGAATTTTGTGATTCAATCAGCATCTGGTTTGGAGCCTTGGGCACTTAATAAGTATTTGTTGAATGAATGAATACATTTTGTACACCTTTAATACTCACATCTGCAGTCTTGGACAATCATAATTAATGTTCTGAGAGCTGCCCCTGAAGGTGCTACAAGATAGAGTCTGAATTATCAAAGAATGGTTCAATTATCTTTACCTCCATGGACTTGTTAAGGCAAACAAGGAGACTCAGACATTTTTAGAAAGAATTGTCAACAACAGGGTGGTGAAACTCAAGGAGATTTCTGGTTAATAGAGGTTGAGAGAGTGATTAACATAAGTCTGCCACATAGAAAGCACTGAAGACTTTCTTTCTGTTTCTTTGTCTTTTTTTCTCTCTCTGTCTCTGTCTCTCTATTTCTCTGTCTTCTCTGTCTCTTTGTCTTCCTTTCCATCAATCAATCAATCAATCAATCAATCTCTCTTTCTAAAGGGCAGCATGGTACAATGATTGGATGTGGAGTCAGGAAGGACCTGGGTTAGAATCCTGCCATGTGACTCTGTGACTCTGTGACTAGTTATATGTCACTTAATTTCCCTGGACCTCAGTTTCCTCATTTGTAACATGCACTAGATGACCTCTAGTTCCCTTCTAGTTGTAGACCTGTTATGTTATGATCTATGATTCAGCAACAAGCAAGACTCAAAGATTAACAAGGTCATTCTTTAGAGGGCCTACTATTTTCTTCCCTTTTAGGAGACATTGATTTATTCACCAGACATTTAAAATGTGGTTGGCAATGGTGCAAGATCCTAGGGATGCAAACACAGAAATG